TGCTTCCTTGCTTCCTTGCTTCCTTGCTTCCTTGCTTCCTTGCTTCCCTGCTTACTTGCTTCCTTGCTTCCTTGCTTACTTGCTTACTTACTTGCTTACTTACTTACTTACTTACTTACTTGCTTCCTTACTTACTTACTTACTTATATTCTTTATTTCTTTTTTCTTTCTGCCTGCCTGCCTGCCTACCTGCCTACCTGCCTACCTACATACCTACATACCTACTTACCTACTTACGGACTTACCCTGCTTGCTTGCTTGTTTGCTTGTTTGCTTGTTTGCTTGCTCGCTTGCTCGCTTGCTTGTTTGCTTGCTTGCTTGCTTGATGCCTTGCTTGATTCCTTTCCGACTTACTTCTTGTAATATACATCTATACTTCCTCACTTACTCATTTGTTTATTTTTTTCCTCTCTCTCTCTCTCTCCCCTTGGCTGCTCTGAAATAGCAGTGGCACTGCCAGGCATGTTGCTGGACTTGCGAGAGGAAAATTGCTGGGCATTTGAGCTTGAGCACGCCTGCTGCTTGGGGTCAGGATTAGTGGAGGTGATGCTGTTATATTATTAGTCTGCATTCAAAGTGATTTGGATTTGCTTCCAGGACCCGCAACACACACACACACACACTCGGGAAATGCGTACTGAATTGAAAGCCACTTGCGGAAAGCGCAAGAAACACGGAGTAGGGTACGTAAAGCGTTCTGACCATGAGACTTCCATGAGAACCTCCGATCGACAAGGACGGCGAAAACGTGCAGAGTCTGCTGACCTACCTCCACCTAAGCAGCCTGAAGGTTAGATTGAGATGTAACTACAAAACGCCACAGCCAAGCAGGTAAGTCCAGAAGGCGTCCCCCCCGGTCTTCGTTTACGCTGCCCTGGTTTCTTGGAAAAACCAAAAGGTTCCCTTTGACTCCAAGGGTTTCGCGCGCACACACACTCGGGAGATGCGTACTGAGTTGGAAGCCACTGGCTACACGCCCGCCCAAGTATGAACGCCTAAAGAAACCAGGGATAAGGTATGTAAAGCGGCCTGAACATGAAGACCTCCATGAATCCCAACGAGCTCGAAGTTCTCGAAAAGCGCAAAGGGGGGAAGTCAGCGACAGGATGACGACGAGCGCTCACACCTGCAGACGCAGTTTCAAGGAGAGTGGAGTCACAGCTAGGTCAACAGTTCAAAAGAAGCAGGTACGTGGAGCAGGTACGAGTCCCACATCAGGCATGGCGGCGTAGCCCTCTTCGGGGCAACCAGCTGTGTCACGAGGTCCTGTGACTCCAAGGGTTTCACACACACACACACACGCCCCTCGTGTGGATGTGCAAGTGTGCGCGCAAAAAGGACAAAAAGCGAAGACGTGAGAAGCGGACGAGACGAGACGAAAGTGTGTGGTTGCGATGAAGGGCAAACCAAATGCACAGGGACAACCAGTGAACCATACCTCATTATCAAAACCTGGGCAACCGAAAGCCTGAGTTAAGTGTAGATGTGCGCGTGCATGCTAAGGGCCGGACCGATGTGGGTGCAAAAGAAAGAACGGAGTGAGATGACGGGACAAATTTCTGCGGAGAAGACATGAAACGAAAAAGGAAAGCAATGTGTGTGAAGGGAAAATGATAAAAGGGAGACCAAATGGAAGGGCCGGGAAACAACAAAGCCAAACCTCATTAAGTGGACCTCGGCAACCCTAGCCTGGTTTGGTGTGCACTTAAGGCCCGCATGGTTTGACTCGACCAGGCCTAGAAAAAGCTACGGCCCCTGTGGCCTACTCCTGGCATTCAGCCTGCTCTGGCCCGCTGCGGGCTACTCTTGGCATCACCTATAAGTATGAACGCCCAAGGAAACCAGGGACAGGTATGTAAAGCGGTCTGAACATGAAAACCTCTATGAGTCCCAACGAGCTCGAAGTTCTCGAGAAGCGAAACGCCCGAAGTCAGCGACAGGATGATTCAGAAGAAGCAGGTACGTGGCGTTGATCAGACTCCATATCAGTCGTGGCATAGCCCTCTTCGTTGGGCAGCCAGCTATGCTCACGAGGTTGCCCCCCTGCAAAACCAAATTGTGCCCTGTGACTCCAAGCATTTCACACACGCACAAACGCACAAACACACACACACACACACTGTTCAGGGCGAAGGCGTTCTTTCAGCCTGTCGGCGGCTAGAAGCTTCCAAGCTGTCGCAGGCGATGTCCCAACTGATGGGGCAAACAGAGAGGAACATTTCTCAGCGAGTCGAAGGTGCCTTTGCCCGGTGCAAGTGTGCCAGACTACAGAATCTGTGCAGAGAGTGAAGTTGAGGCTTGTCGCTTTGCCGCTCCGGCTCTTTCTACTAGCTCAAAATGGAAAAGACACGCGCAAGTAGCCACAGCAAATCCTGCTTGTTCCGGGAACCATTGGGCAATGGAACAGACCTCGGTGGCATGCATGTCCTGTCAAGCATGCCTTCGTTTGATTCCTCGCATGTGATGGTGGCCTTCAGCTCATGAGTCATGAGATGAAAGCTCGGCACTGATGAGGCTTCACTCACCGGATGCATTCAATCTGTTTGTTGGTAGAGGCTTTACTCTTCACATATTCAGTGGACCTTGGCCAGTGTTTGACCTTTGACACCCTCCAACGAAGAGAGACGCAGAGGCATGCGGAGACAATGGTTTCCCTTCATTGTGGCGCCCTCATGCGGCTCACACGCGACCAAAGTAGATCGTAACTTGCTGTTTCGTCTCTTTGAATGCAAACACCACTACCCCTATGATCTCTTCTGACCACTTTTACCTTTGGCTTGGAAGACTTTCAATGTTCCCTGTCAAGTGTCACGATTTGATCAAAGCTGAGGCGCTTTCATTCCACGGAGTGCCTTGACCTTAGGACATCAGTTATATCTAAATGTGGGCTTGCTATGCTAGTTTGAGTGTCCAGCGTTCGCAGAGACCTGCACGATGGCAGAGGTCAACCGAGAGTGAGGATACACTGTGAGGCACTTGATCGGCTCTTGCTCCCCTGCTTTAACATTCCTTGTTAGAATTTTGATATGTACTATACATACTATACTCAAAATATTTCAAGATTGTTTGTCCTTGTTTTTCTACTGAGGTGCTCCGATCATCGCTGGAAAGACTTGCATAAAGGCTTGCGAGCCAAGTACCAGGCGTGCCATAGGAGCTTTTGGAAACCAATCAGCTAAAAGTTAAATAGTACAAGCTCTCCGGTCATTCTCCCTTAAGACTCGGCTAAAGACAAGGTGTTCGACCACAGGACATCATCCTTAGTCGTATTCACATTGCGAGCTTATCGCGGCCCGCTATTTCTCGATCAGCCAGCCAGCCAGCCGGCCGGCCGGCCGGCCAAGAACCACGGTCCAGCTGGCCGGCCGGCCGGCCAAGATCCACGGTGGCCGGCCGGCCGGCCGGCCAAGATCCACGGTCCAGCCAGCCGGCCGGCCGGCCGGCCAAGATCCACAGCCCAGCCGGCCGGCCGGCCGGCTGATCAACGACCGTCGGCTACTACTACTAC